TATTCCGCTTTGCTTTCAAGCTTGGAAAAACAGATTTTTCTTTTTTTTCGACTAAAACACACGAGCGCGCATATGGCGTTATATCGAGAGAGATTTATTTATTTTTTATTTGCAGAGAAGTATTAAAATTAAAAACACAACATTCTTCATAACAGTCTGACTTGAATGAGTCTGAAATAATTTATATTCACTTACTCTGTTTCATCTTTAATTTAGATAAAAGTTCTTTCGAGGAGTCAAGAGTGTAAACCATTTTTTATGGACGAGTATTTTGTTAATTACTAGAATAATAATTTCGAAAAGAGCGTAGCTGTAATAATGCATATATATGGAATCGCATTAAACATTTTTTTTTAAGTTTTATTTAAGTTTATTATTTCCGAAGTTGTAGAACTCTCGCAGCATTCGAGGATATTCGAGATCCAGTTTAACGAGATAGACATAGTCTCGGACAAATACTGAAATGCAAGGACGTCGCGAAATCAAGCAATCTCGAGATCCATGCTGTGTTTCTGGTCGCGAACGTGCTCGAATGACTTCCTACGACTTTATGTTTCGCGTTGGAACACGAGAAAATATTAAAGCCAAAATACTCGCGTTTTAGGACTACTCTCGATCTGTGAATCTTTTATTTCTGCTTGAAGGCTTCGATGACACAGGATATTGTACTCTCAGAAAGATAAGGAGATCTGGAAATAATAAAAAGATATTTTTATCAGCTAAAGCGTATATATACGGAAACTGGTTTTACGATCCGATTCAACGTGATCGTTAAAGGAAAATTGCGCAACCCTATCAGGCGTACACACGTGCAAAGAACGTAAAACTAAAGAAAAGTCATATCGACAAATCCGATTTTTGCGTCTCTAGACTCTAAACATAGTTTCCAGCAGAAAAATACACATTTTACTGTTTACGTGAAGACTAAAAAAATTATAATGCAAATATTTTTCATTTCTGTACAATTTACTACGGTGTAAATAACATTTATAATTTCATTATTCTCGCGTAAGTGTTGCTGTTATATTATACATAATATTACACATGCAAAGAACTAAGTGTACCAGAGTAGAAAACTAAATCATCGTGGAGGAGCGCATTCTGCCGCGTCATTCTTTCGCGTTACGTTATGCAGATGAGGTTTGTAAAAAATCTAGAGATGTATCCTGGTAATTTCGCCTTCTTTCCGACGGCGCATGATTCTTTACCGTCGTCCTTAATACACCCGCGCTGGTTGATTAAGCCGCTCCTCTCGCCGGTGAAGTTATTTACCGGTGACGGGATAGGGAACATCATTATTTTTCGCAACTTCGTTTATACTTTGCCAGCCGGGGAAATCTGCATTTCGCTGCGCGCTACGTAAAACGTCACCGTGCTCTAAATAGCCCTCTCTAAATGGCGCAACAACCGTATAAATTCGCGTGTCACTCGGGTAATGAGCGTATAAAATGTTACATTAATGTACGCTTGTCGTTACGGCAATATTTCAGCAACGGGTTTTGCGGTGGCTTAACTGATTTGGAGCATATACATATATCACATTGTAATTATCGAAAATTAATGCAAAACAGATCTGCATAAAATGCACATTTATTTATCAATTAATTTTCCTTGTATCATCACATATTTATTAATTAATGCGTTGATTATTTATTAAAAAAAGAAAATTAAAAAAAGTTTAAAAGCAGTTTAAAAAGAGAGATAATACTGTGGGATGTTATGCATAAAAGTTTGTATATATATTCTTATCTCTCAATTATGTAAAAGAAATTAAGCCTTATTGATCAGATTAAGAGAAAAAGAACGAGAGAAAGCTATGTGATATTTTTAAAAATCATATTTAAAAAACTTGATTTTATTTAAAAAAAAAAAAAAACAGTAGTAAGAAAGTAATATTAGTATTTATTAAGTTTATTAAGTTATAAGACTCTATAGGCACGCGCGTCGATGCGAAAGTAATCTGCTAGAAGTCTATTTCATGTGTAAACATTTTCCTATGGGTGTATAAATTCCTTCGTGCTCCTCAAAGAAAACTTGGTGAGAGAAATGTAAGCAAGTATCTCAACACATTGGCGATTTAACGAAGTGGCTAGCGATTTAACGGATTACTGACGTCGGGACAAGAGACCAAACACACCTCCGCGTAAGCCGCTTGCACGGTACAACCTTAATGCATTTCGACTTCTCGAGTTTCGCGCCGCTATTCCGGAAGGATCAACGCGGCCTAATGTACATAAAAGCGGAAATGTGCATTTCGAACGGTCACGGCCAATTGATTCTCGCGTGCACATTCCATTAGATTGAGATAAATTTGCGCGAAAAGTGGTAGACTCGGTGTTTTTCCTCAAATTACGCTCTTCATGAAGGAAAAATCAATTGCTTTTTTTTTTTTTAATAATTAATTATCTTTAATATATTGCATTGATATTTTTACATTTGTGTAAAATTATAAATATATTTTTGTGCAATTTAAATTTTTATTTCGGATGTTTAATCGATCTTTTACCTAATTTAAATATGATATAAAATAAATGAGATACACCAAATTTTTCATATTGTTTGTGCATGCAACATAACGCGATAAGCATAAAATGAAGAAATATCTTCGGTGTGATGTATGGAAAAGATTATCGAGTTAAATCCGTAAAATATAATAATTAAAGAAAACTTAGCAATGATTGATACGAACCATATCTAAGGCAATTTCTATAGAAGAAGCGTAATTCCGCAGTGAATGTGGCCGTCTTCGGTCGCTTTAGCGACCATCCTTGGGACATTTTCTAGATACTATCCTCGATTTTCTTAATCGAATACCGTCGTGGTTCGGTTACGTTCTCGGCTTGCGAGCGCATATCTGGCCCTGCTCGTGGGTAATTAGACGGGAGCGCATTCCCAGCCATTAGCTCGAAATGAATTCGCATTTAGCATGGCCCAGAGGGCAAACCGATCGGCAAATTCGATTTTCTCCGCGCAGACCGTCTGCGCGATTATTAAACCTATCGATCGAAACAAGGCACGGTTTCGAAGGCGTGGGAGGCGACGCGAGAAGGTCATCGTGGTCACGGAGATCAGGTTATCACGATGGATCGTAATCGCCCTTCGTGTCCAACAGCTCGGCCTAGATTTTACTATCCGGTTGCTCGATCGTCCCGTTTCCGTTTCTATCATGCTTCTCTCTTTTTTTTCTTTTATTTCTGCGGGGTCATTTTGAGCGAAAATGGTGAAAATTAACTGCTATTTTTTCTCATTAAAGTATCTCTCTCTCTCTGTCTCTTTTCTTCCTCTTCTTTCTCTCGGCCCTTCTCTCTGGGTCACCGGTGTGCGGTTAGTACAGCGAACGCAATTGAATTCGAATTTGTCGTCCGGGTACACACCACGTCTCATTAGGCGACCGCATTATACTCCCTCGGGTATATCAACGGAACTCTCTCCCGTTCTGATCCGACGACGACGACGACGACAAGCATGGTGTATGCACGATGCCTGGTGATGTTGACGGTCTTGTAATTGCGCCGTTATCGATGCTCGATTTGATCCGCCGGCGAATTCACCACGGATCGCTGGAATGATTCTGGAATTTTTTCCCTTCCCGCCGTGTTCTATTGCACTTTACAAATTCCAATATAACTCCCGCACACGTTGCTGCGCTCACATCGTTGCGTGGAATTTTCTCTCACAATGCTGCTCTCTGATGCCTGCGCAGCTATATAAATCCGGATTATGACAAGTCATTATCGATCGAATCGATGGATTTGAATGTATATGAACTATGCGTGTCACGGCATAGAGAGCGAGAATTAATTTTTAGAGAAACTATTTTTTCTCCTGAAAGAGATACGAGCTCTCGCGCTGGTCAGCTGCTATGCAAATATTTCTTCGAATATTATTCATCGGCGATCGTGAGCGTGATCGGTTTTTCAATTTTACCGTTTGATGCGCGTAATAATAATCTGCCGACGACAGTCGCTATCAGAACGTGAAATTAACTCGATTGCTTAGCATTCCGCGATAAGCGTGCTTAACGGGCCGATAACAAACATCAAACACGTAAACACGTTGTTTATATCTCCGCACTTACACATGTCGAAAATTATGTCGTTCGCCGGGGTTTAATCGCGTGCGAAAAAGGAAAATATTGCGGTCGATGAATAATAAAGTTACATACCATACACAGTTATTCTCGCACATTGAATAATAAAACTAACTTAATCGGCACAGAACAATCGCGCGATGTTTTATTCATCGGTTTTTGTAATCTCGATTTTTTTTTCAAACGTCATAAATTAATTTATTATCTAATTATTGTCATTGATAATTAAAATCACATTGACCTTTATGTACTTCTAATTATCTTCTCTGTCACCTTGAAATTGTGATCCACTTTCTTTGCTCACGTATATCAATCTACATTAACAAATATTGGTCCCGAAAATACAAAGGTTCCATGAATAAAACTTATAATTCTAAAAATACATGTATGCGATTCTAGTCACGATTTTTTTTCGAACGTCATAAATTAATTTAATCTAATTATTGTAATGAAATTGTTATCACTTTCTTTGCTCGCGTACTAATCTACATCAATCTACAAATTATTGGTTCTGAAAATACAAAAGTTCCATTAATAAAACTTATATAATTCTAAAAATACATGTATACGCGATTCAAGTTTTTACAATCTCGATTTTTTTCAAACGTTATAAATTAATTTATTATAATTGTCATCGATAATTAAAATCACATTAATCTTTCTTTATATGTTTTTAATCTATCTTCTCTATCACCTTGACATTGCGATTCACTTTCCTTGGTCACGTATCAAGTTATAAAAATTGGTCCCGAAAATACAAAAGTTCCATTAATAAAACTTATATCATTCATATAATTAAAATACATGTATGCAATTCAAGTTTAATGTGCGAGAGTTAGTTGGAAAATAAATGACCGAGCGTATGAATAATTTGTATTCACGTGTTGTCTGGTGTGATTACGTTTTCCAGAGATCCCGGGCAGATGGAGGAGGCACTGTCCGCACGGGCCGATGATGTCGGGTCCCGGTTGCAACTTGGTCGGCGAGGGAACCGCGACGGCCGGGACCGGAAATGCGGCGGCCGCCGGCAAATGCGTTTGCGGTCCGTCGGTGCCCTGGTGCCCGGGTGAGCCACGACCCTACATGTACACGACGCGGCACGAGTGCAAGCTCAATTTGGAGGCGAAAATTGCTTACGGTAGGACGCATTCATTCCATATGCGAGATGTATATGTATATATAACACGGTGATGCGATCTGCGTGATGCGCGACGATGCTGCATCGCGCGCGCGTGCGCGAGCGGATTTGCTGTGGCGGCGCGATAATGCGCGTCAAAGCGCGCTAAATGGCGAAATTAATTTCATGCCCGATTCGTCGAACGGCGTGAATTACACCCGTCTATCGGAAGGGAATCGGTCGTAATGCACGTATAACGCGGGGCTATCAATTTTAATTATCCCCATCTGTGTTGGTGTATCAACACACTGGGAGGCTTGTGTAATCGGTGAGAGATTGTGTGTATATTGCGCGTAACAATTTGTTCCGATCCAATGCGTTCCTTTGGAAACGCAGAGATTGATGATTGAGCTATTAGATGGAATAATCGGATACGAGTCAGCAGAGATAAAAATTTGAAATTTCAATTTGCGTTTATAATTTTATGTGGTGAAAAGTGATGAAAATTTTAGTCTTTTTTTTTTATAGAATCGTAAAAAAATGACTGTCATAATTGGCTCTCGTATAACGAAGACTTTATGATTCTGAAAATGAAGGAATAAATGTCTTATAGCATGTCGCCGCACATCAATTCCCTCGAATATTGTGCCGAGAGAAACGAAGACGGAACGTCTGGTTGTTACCGTGTTCTTAAGTATATATATATCTACGTCCGATCACATAAATTCCTTGGCATGTTCCTTCCCCTGAATGGACAGTATTCATACCGTATTGATAAATTCATGAACCGATTGCGAAAGTATCCTCGGCAAACGTCGCTTGTGAGTTATTGCGAACGTCAATATTTATTTGCTATTATGCTTTTGCTCTTTTAGAATCGCCACAAAGTTACCATTTACTCTATCGCGTTGTTTATCGATTTATATCGAGCCATATGTGTACCACATTTTGTGATAAGAATCACTGACACGTGACACAGACAGAGGCAAAAGATCGATTTTCCGTATAAAGGAACGACGACGTGTCAGGAAATTTATGCTACGAAACGGCGATGTCGTCGTCATTTCCGAATGAGTCAGGAATAAATATCGTCCTCGTTGCACACTTGTAATAATGAAATAAAATTTGCGAGTCACGAACATTTATAACGCCGAGTAAACATTTATCCGGCCCGTTAACAACAGTTAACTCGGTGCCGTCTATTTTAAACCGTTACTCGAACCGTTGTCGCTTTTAACACATCATGGACGATTTATTGGACGTGTCGCGATTTCATCTACGCGATCCGTTAATTACGGTAAATAATTACGGCTGGCTAATTGTTTCGTCATCATTATTTCTGTTTAATACGGATTATATATTCATTAAGAGAGAATTTTGTGTCTCTTATTTTCTTGTTTTTTATGAATAATTTCTGTCTGACATTTTGCAACATTTTTTAAAAATGTAAAAAAAGAATTTGACTTTTCGGACTCGTATATTTAATTGATGAACTTTATGTTATTGTTTTTGTGCGCTATGAATAAAATAGAAAAGTGATCGCGATTAGAAACGAAGAAGTTGAGAATTGACGGTCATCATTCGCGATTTATGTAATCTTATTATCCTTATTGATCATATTTTTATCATCTATCGTTATTACGAGAAGAAGAACGTGTCTTTTCGCTGCCTTCGTGCTGTCTCTCCTCTAGTTAGTCTTTTAAAGCGCGGATGAAAAAGAGAAACAGTAGCGAGACGAATGAAGTACGCGCGAAACTATGTCGAGTGCGCAAACGACGACGGCTCGGCGTTAATGAAAAGAAAACACAAATAGCGAAGGAGGTGAGGACAACGGCTAAGAAAAATGGGAAAGCCAGACACTGAAAGGAATACAGACGGTATACCGGTAATGAGAAAAGGACACAGCTATAGGAACGCGTTCATTCTTTCGTTCATTATCGGCTCCGTCGTTTCTGATTAGAACGCGTAAAAACAACCACGTGAGGGAGAAGATTGCGTTACCGGGCTAACTTGAAGTGATTTTTTTATAAACCTCTATTTTTTATCCAACGTATCCAATTCTGATAAACTGGAAACGTCTCTCATTTATTTTTGAATTAATTGAATTTTTCACAGTAATAATTTTTTACACAATAATCATTTTTTGTTAATTCAATCATATCGTTAATATTGAATTTCTTTCTAAAGCGAATATTCACGGTTTATTAAATTGGAAACATTAATAGTTATCCCAACGTTTATTATCGGAAAATAATTAATATGATCAATTACAAATATTATTAAATTAATATTTAAAAATAGAATATTCTCTTGTATTGGTATAATTATATTTTGTATTTGTACTTTATGCATATGTATTGTATGTATACAGTTACATATAGTACTACATAACGTACATTCGATTCTTTTTACTCTTAGCTTTGATAGTTGTTCATTTCGAAAGAAATAACTATGTGTGTAGACGACTCCATAACAGTTATGATTAGAGTTCTCATCCAGCTGCTCAGAATCAATAGTTAACTCGTTCTCCTTTCGAGTGCAACTTCCAGAAGTCCATCTCGGCACAGTGCGGTGTTCAACGTGTAACGAGATTGTTGGCGAGCGAGTAACAAAAGTAGTTACCCCGACCGGCGCAGAAAGTTAAATTCGATTCGTTGAGAAAAGTTTAATCGCGTACGTACTATAAGGGCAGACGGATTGTTCCTTTGCCGGTGAGTTAAGTACACGAGTAAAATACCTAAGTCCAAAAGAGAGGGACAAAGGAACCAGCGAGCCGAGTTCGTTTCGGTGTACCGAGGGATACGCGAATGGCACTTTCTAAATTAGAATCATGAATGGTCGCCCAATGTTCTTTATCCTACGTTTCTGCCGCACATTAAATTTAAATTAATAAATAATTACTTATTATAAATGATAATTAGTGCATTTATTGCAATTATAAAAACTCTTTATTTCCCTTCTTTTAAGAACATTTATCTTAATTATTACAGCCTGCTAAAAGTATTACGTATTTAATTAATGAAAAAAAAAAAAAAGGAAATTTTTTGAAAAATGAAAGTATTATCGATTGTTTGTTTATTTACAATGACAAATCACGTCAACTCGTTTGTCGACATAAAAGTTGTTTTATCGCTTTGCACGTTAAATGATAATTATTTTTCACGATTAATACTTCGTGAATTTTACGAATATTTTTACAATAGACATCATTCGGACGTGTAGAAAACAGATTTGAATAGAGATATTTTGGCGGTATCACCTCTCGCAACGAAATAAACTGTTTGGTGTTTGAAACGTGCCGTGAATTTCATTGAACCTCATTGAAAGTAATTGTCCTCCGGTTAATTGAGTGCAATGCCCGATATTGTTCTCCGACCGCAATAAAAAAAATCGTTGATTCCTATCGCGTACGTATTATATCTCGAAATGCAATATATGTAGAGGAAAATGCGTGAAATATCAGAGACGCAATAACAGATGCATACGCATGTGCATACATGATTGAGTCGCATTGTATCTCTATTACGTTTATATCGGCATTTAAAAAATATATGTTTATAAAGCAGTGTGATTTTTCTGTATGAATTTATTTAAAAAAAATGAGAAAAATCAGATTTTATTATATGATTAACTAATATGATTTAAGTATTGGTTTTTTCATTGAATCTGAAATTCCTTAAATTAGTTCTATTAATTTTTTTAAAAATAAAAAGAATTGTGAAAAGTGAAAATAATAAACTTTTATTTTATTAATAAATATACCGAAGAGCTCTTATGCAATGTTTTTTTTAAATATTGATTTGTGAAAATAAGTACCTGAACAAATTTCAACAATCTTTTATTCTTTTATCTTTTACAACTAAATAGAATATATATATGTGAATTTATTGAATAGTTTTCGCATGATGTTATTTTAGTAAACATCGCAATAATAATATGCTTCCAAAAATGATTAACAAGTCGAATTTATATGCAGCAAATGTCCCACAAGCATTTCTTATTCATTCGTCAGAATCTACGAGTAACAATGTTCATAATGAAGTTACCTTCGATATGATGTGTATATAATGTGTGTGTATATATGTATACATATATATATATATATGTGTGTGCGTATTTATATATGTGTTAAAATTGGTCGCTGCCGAGGCCGACCTGTCGTTAGCAGAAATTAATTCGTTTAATAACGTGTATGATGTGAATTACGCCCGGCTAGAAGTTTGGCGTCGAGATCGACTTCGCAACACCTTCAATTTCAATTTATGTTAGGCCATTATGCCCGATTCATTTTATGTCGTGGCCTAAACAACTCTAGCCGTCGGGCATTCCTATGGCAAACTTATTCGACGCGCTAATTTACGGAATATGAAGCAAATTGTAAATCGCATTGCGGGAACTAATAAAACTTTGCTGATGCTTAGCGAGCGTAAATTAACGCCACATGACAAGAATTCGTTCGAGTGGATTTTCACTTTGCGAGTGGCAATGTCGGAAACGTTCAAAGCATCTGGTTAATAAGTTAAATCTCTAATTACTAGAATAGCAAAAGGATTACGTATCGCCGAGAATACGGTGAAACACACCGTAGGTAATTATTACTCATTCTTTGAAACAGAAAAAGCTTTAATTAGTTTTCCATATGTTAAAGTTTAAATACAGGTTATTACGGTTGAGTTGCTTTTTCTTATAATTTATTAGAACGAACATAATCGCGAAAAGCTTTTAAACTTTATATAATTCTATAGTTTCTCTCAAAATCATAAATAAACTCTTCGTCTTTGCATTTCATTTGTAAAGTTGGCGAGATCGTATTATTAAAAGTAATATCCAGCTGAAAATTAATCTATTTTTGAACAACAATTAAAAACAATTTATATTGTATTTATATTATTACTTAGCTTTTTTTCATACTTTTCAGAGAGAAACACGATTGATTAATATTAGTTTGTTTTTACGTGACAAGAAAATGCGAAAGTGTATTTTACCATTTCACTGCTTCATTTCCGGATTTGAAATATATTTCGGTTCGTTCGCCATGTGTCGAAGAAGGTAACGTTGAAGGAAAGCATTTATGAAACATTCCGGGACATCCCTCGATCCTTTATATCCGTGGCAATTTCGTAGCTTCGTCTTCGTTCATATAGGTACTCCTCTCACGTCTCGGATCCAATCGCTTTTTACTCTCTCGTAGTACAGCGAAACAACGCAAAGTCATATTGTGTCAGAAGTGCTGGTTCGGCAAGGTCTTAAGAAAAACCTTTGGATCTTTACTTTACTACGTGTAGAATTTCGAAGGGCGCGCGAACATTCTTTGAGAAACTCTGGCACGGTTGATTTTGCGCGCAAATTTTTCTTTGCGAATGTAAAATAATCTTTGCGATATATTATACATTCGGAGCGATAAAAATAGCGACTAAAAAAATAGCACAACACAAATGTTTCAGTAATAATCGATACAAATTGATTTGGCAACTAGAAAATCAATGTTGAACTCTAATCTATTACAAGAGAAGGAGAGAGAAAAATAGAATAAATGAAATCAATGCTAACTTACTTTCAATCGGTTGCGTGTTTGCGATTCTTGCAAATTAATCAAATTATAATAAAATTACTTTCTCAGAATTCTCTTCTTATGATAAACTCATAAATTTCTGATCTGCGAGATATGTCAGTGAACTAAAAACAGCCTGCTTGGAATATTTATTATTAGAAAATTTTTTGGGGACGTGGATACATCTATCTTTATTTGGCCGATATTTCGGTCGCTATGTAGAGTCGCTCGATCGTGAGAAAACGATTTCTCGGCGTTGGGTTGTTCTCCAGTCTGGTTTAGACATTAAATTACGCAATCGTGTCGATATAAACACGAGGTCAGACATGATTGGGTGTCAATCGTTTTCGTACCCGGTCAAGTCCAATCTAAAAATGTCAGACGTATCCGTCCGACGATCTGATAATTGCGAGGAATGGATGCGATATTTTATATAGATATCTCGCTATGATCGCGCAGTGTCTTAGGATGTCTCGCGCACTTCAATAACTTAATAATTGGGTCATTACACAAGCGCCCTATTGATTCAACTTAATCCCCGGCGGAGATCCTCGAACGCAGTCACCGTAAAATAAATTACAAAGTTATTTTGGAAACAAAGATGGGCTCGCTATTTCGTTAGAGTTTCTCGTTTATAAATTAGTGACACATGCGAGAATATATATAGTAAAATTACCACACGATACAAGTATAATTAGCGACATACGTGGGCGACGTAAACAATTTATAGGAATAAATTAAACAATATTAACTGATGTATTCTTGTTATATTGGACATGTTCTATAATCTATTAAAGTAATCTGAAATAACGTAAGATATAAAAATAACTATTCTTTCTAGAAAAGAATATAAGGGATCGGTCGATAACTCAAATATGATTTTAATTATATGTATAATTTAATAATCTATGTAAACATATCTACACATATGTATACATACAAGAAAAAAACGAGAGTTTAAAGTTTCTACGAAATTTTTAGCGTCGATTTAATATTTAATTGCGGTTTAATTAAGAAAAAGAACAGTTATAATATAATTGAAATTGGCAAATATAATTGAAGTGGTCGTTCGAGGAGGATTATTCCGCAGATTTGCTTACACTTTTGGGTAATCCGATATTTGACCGGAACATTCGCGTCGATGTTATGCAAAATTTACTCGCCATATTAACTGTCCGGAGGCAATCCATTCCAATATTTGTATAACAAATGTTCGCGGCCGCGCGAAATATTGAATTGCTCATCCCTAAGCAAATTCATAATCTATAACGCGTCGGTGTCCGTAATGGCGGCGATATTTAATAAGGCGAGGACATTTATAGACCTGGTCGAGTCGTTTATCGTACATAAATATGGCCGAGGAGAAACGAGCGCGAGGTATCTCCTCGGCGCAGAATATTCTCAGATTTTCAGGTGTCCTCATAAACTTTTGAGGATTATTTTTACATTAAATTATATATATATATATATGTCTCACAAAAGATACAATAATATTTAAAATAATATTTGTCAATTTAAATATATCCATCTCCATTTATTTTGAAATATTTCGACATATCTTGACGCAAGTATATATTTTGAAATTAGAATTTCAAAGTTAAATATATAAATTGTTATTTTCAATATATACACAATTAAATTTTGTTTCCTTTTTTTTATTATTTTTTATTCTATCTTTAATATTATTTTACGAATATTAATATATAATGTTCTCTCTTTTTTAACTCCGTTAAATAATTCTCTCTATGCACATTCTGACTAATGTAATCTTTTATGAGAATTCATCTCTTTATTAATGCCAATTATTTCGCTCGATGACATGCGATTTGGTATTTTAATGGTTCTAAATCGCATTTACGAGAGCTGGTCATTACGAGGGACGTAATTACAAACTGAATTACTCTACTTATTAGTAGTTCTCGATCAGAACATAGTCGCTCAGGCATCTCCGATCGCGAAATAATGGACGCTATCGCTAAGAGCGCTATCCAAGTTTAATCTAATGAAGTGTTTTGCAAGTACTCGTTAATTAATTCATGCCCAATATCCATCTCCCTACCATGGAGCACCACCGCAGCCGATAAACTTTTAACTTCTGTTTCAGATGACCTCTATAATTCTGGAGACACGCCGAGCAGCGTCACCGAGGGTGAGTTACTTTCAACCAATTTCAAAAGTTTTCGCGAACGGGCGGCTTTAATTGAGTGTGTTTAGTATTCATCCGCTATCGTGTTTAAGGGATTAAAGGGAAATTATACGAGCACTACGCAAACTACGCGCGACTCTTCCTTTGATACTGTATCGTGGCTTTAACAGTGTTTGGCTCGTAGGATTAATACGTGCTCGCCGTTAACAAGTGTTACTATCTCATAATTTTCAGCAGCAGACAAATATGTCGCTGCCACGTTGCTATTGATCGGTAAGAAGAATCCGGCGGAATAGCGCGAAGATTACCTCTATTAATTTTGATACGATAGCCTTGATCGAACGAGAAATAATGCCGCTACATTATACACTCGTTTTGCGCTCAATATGAAAGCGGGCACTATATCCATTAACGTAGTGTTCCATCCATCAGTCTTTATTATATAACATCGTTTTATCCATTTTTCATAAATGCCTAATAATTCGTCATTGTAGTCGGTCTCGTTACGGACAAATATAATTATATATACGATAAAAACACTTTAGGAAATTGATCACAAAAATATAATCCAATTTGACCGACAATTATTTGACATGTACCGACACTTATTTTACACATTATGCGAAAAATTTCCTCCCAGCATCGCCGTTAATAAACAATTATCTATCAGACATCTCTCGTGTTTATTTCCGCGAAATAATTGTGCGAGTTTTTGCTAAAACTCATCTCTTTTATTCATCTTGTAATAATTAGAACCGTGAAAAGTGTCGGAAACATTTTTAAAACTATATTAATTATCATCATTATCATTGTAATATATTTGAATATTACGATTGCACTATTAAGTGATGTTTTATCGCTAATTTGGGGTGGGATTTATACGATACGTTAAAGATACGCACGATCCAAATTTGCTTTCGCGAGTCAGAAAACAGTGTTAAAAGATGATATCATTTAGATGATATCGCAACTAAACAGAAATTCTTCTCGCCACTCTGCGCGATATCAGTATAATACTCACGCTGCTACTAATTACACGTCTTATCGACGTCACGCATCTACCACGTTCTTCGAGCTCGCTAGGCGGATAACGGCCACTTCCGTTAATGTAACGGCAAGGTAGTCGCATAAGCAATTTGGGGCATAGAATTGAATTATCTCACAGAGATCGGGAAAAGGATTCGGGTGGGTCAAGCAGTCGGCACTCGAGATACGCGGAATGGAGGGAGCTAATTTAATTTGATAAAAGAAAGAAAGAGAGACAGATAGAGAAAATATTTCTTCTCTCTTTCTCTCCTTTTCCGTCCCTTCGCTCAAACTCTATCGCAAAATAGGAACGAAAGTGGCAGAAGAACTTTCCTTTCTAGACGACTAACAGTTTGCTTCTTTCGCGCGGCGCATAAGAAACAGCGAGAAAGAAGGGCGAATTTTTGGCGAGGCGCATTTGCGGCGGAACTTTTCACAGAGAATTTCCGACACGGCGAGGCGCGTTAAAAAAATTACACTTTAACCGTGTGTACCGTGAAATTGAAGTGGCAAGATCGTTTTCCGTTTTTTACTTGGGTTTCGCATTGCGCCACTACTGGCCGGCTTCGTGTTACACACTTGTCTGCCTCTTCCGAGCTATTATTTGTCGTTGAAATTACATACATACAAAGAGCTCCATCGATTGCATATACAAATTTTAGGAATAAACGAACGGCGCTTTGACGACCGAGAAGAAAAGTGGCTTGATTTTTATCGAATTTGTGAAGTTTTGAAAAAAAAAGTTCCGAGTTGAAGGGGGCTTTTAGTTTTTAATTCACTTTTTAAAAACTCGAGAAGAGTTTAATCGAAATTTTTTTACTTTCTCTCTTTTTTTTTCTCAAGCTCTCAAGATTAATTTTTCTAACTTCTTAACGAAAGGAATGAATGGACCTCTTATTGTTGTATTGCATTCTTAAATTCTTCCGTTTAATGATTATTATATTCGCATTCAAAAAGGAAAAAGAAAATCGTCGTATATTATATTACATGTATTTGCTGCTGCAAATCGCGGCGACCGATATTATTTCAAAGGCAAGAAGACAATTACATTATTCCGCATAGTTGCGAGCAATTTAATTTGTCAAGCTCTTCGTAAGACGAGTGATAAAAACTTCCCTCCGACTGCGTATCGTCGGGCGGTTGCTTCCAACGAGTTTTCGCGGAGTTTTCATGGGGTGGTTGCGAGAAAGGGAGTAACAAAGAGTAATCGCGCGTGGCAAAGTTCATCGGCGCGATCGTATATTGCTGTGAACCGACATTTACAACTAAAGTCAATGAAGGCATATGGCAAGATACGTACTTCATTAAATTCAACGGAACGATCCGCGAACGGGATTTCTCGAGGCAACATTTCTCTTGATTTCAGCATTGAAGACTATTAACACAAAATAGAGTATAATATCAGTCGCGATAAAAACATGATGATAAAAAATATACGCAAAAAATAAATTAATTATTTCTAAATCGCTATTTAGATTAAATAAGTATAATTAGAGATTATTGTTAATACTTTTACAATACGTTTACTTTATAATATGAATAATATCGCTTGTGTTGTTTCTCATTTTAAAATTACCGCGAGCATGTTTTACTGATTTTTCTAGATATACGTGATATCATAATCTCATGACAATAAAAACTTTAATGCAAAATTTACATATTTTTATGACAAAAGTTACGTGTTGCAAAAGAGCGAAATATGAGATAAGCTTGACCTTTTCATACTTGTAAAACGCATTGCCAAACGATGTAAATAAAATAAGTGGTTGAGGGAAAATATCAATATAAATTCTACACGTTTTAATATAATAAAAGTACGTAGTAATGAACAGAATTCCGCTTTTGAATACCGAAACTGCTCGTAGCATGCACTTTATCCTATTGAGAGTGTTCCCCTTGAATGGAGTTTCGCCCTGCTTCGTAATAATGCGGTATCACTTTCCTCTCGCTTGCTTCCGGACAATATGCTTCCTACAATAGCGAAGCCACCCAGTCTTGTGCCTTTTTTTCCCATGTCATCGCTGAAAAATCGTCCTCCAACATTTGTTGACTCGTTAATTCTTTCGGTATCAAGATTTTATTTAGACTCAAACTGTGTAAAATTATTTCAGTGCTAACTACAAGCTTGGAATTTTTGGGAAATTTTCCAGGGATTAATTTCAAACACTCTAAAATGTGGAAACATCAATTGACAATGTGTTCTGTGTAGGTATAAAAAAATTAAATTTGTCGAAATATATCGCACTGAAAAAAAAATTTGTTATATTAACGAAAATTTTATTCGAAAATCGACGAAACAGAATTTACTGGTTAAATCAATCAGAATTTCTTTTGATGTAACAAGAATCTTGTTTGTACAACAAATCAGTTATTTGCATTAAAAGGAATTCTCGTCGATTTTTTAGTGGAATATTTTAATATACAAAAGATTGATAGAAAGAAATTCTCACAGAAAAATTTCTGTAATCAACAGTTTTTAATTTTCAAATTAATTTCTATGCTTGACAAATTTTTCTTGCACAAATAAAATACTAGAAATCATATATTAGACATCTACGATATTTTTGCAATTTGAAGGCTGTTAGAGAAGTGAAAACATTAACGCGAAACGAAAACGAACAATCGGGTTCACAGACGCGTATATATATAATCTCGAATTACAAAAGTCTACGAGGTGTACCTTTCACGAACTTCTCGCGAGGATCTCCGATATCTTCGAGAGCTGCGTAGCGCATCTCGGTGGTTTCCTCTTTTGATTCCACCCTCTTACCAACGTCTATCAGAAGCGTTATTTTGAAGCGTTCCTTTCTTCTGCCGATCCTTTTTTTTCGCCCTGCGGGCGATGCTCTACGCCGTGTTATTAAATAAACTTGCTCGCTGTCTCTCTCTCTCTCCCCTCAGAAAAGAGATTTTCCGGCAAATACTGCGACGTGCCGGCAATGTGCAAACATTGGCAAACTTTAATATTGTCCGCGCGGGCACATAATATAACATATTTTATTAAAGTGTGCACTGTGGGAAATACCGCGCAGTTATGTAGACTGTCTCGCAACGGGAAGTCGACAGTTCGGAGATACGTGTTTTTATTTCAAGCGGCAAAAAGTTTTAATAACATTATCCACGTGGCCATTATTATTAGTTAGAAATTTTGTGACGTGATTGTATTTCGATGAAAGGTGAATCTTTATTAATTAATTCTTTGTCCTTTATATCATATTTTCGAACCAAAGCCCCAGTTTCTTTGTAATAAAACGCGGAAATATTAATTTTTGGAAAATATTCATTTTAATTATATGATAATTAAAAGCTTCCATAAATTACATTTTATAAACGTTCATAATTAGAACATCGATTAATCTTTAATGAAATAAAGATAATCGGCAAGCGCATATAACAATAATTACGGATTCATTTCTTCATGCATACATTCCGCTATTTCCGTTCTCGAGGGAGGCAAAGGATAATTCGGCTCGAATGTAATAAGAGATGCAGTGTAAGAGGGTGTAACGTTTATAGCATATGCTTCCCCCGCTGAGCATCCTCGGGATTTATGTTTTACCTATTGCGGCGACGAAAGCGGGTAATCCGCAAGGAAGATGGGAAGAAGGAAACGCGATCGGGAAAATGGCATCCGCGTGTACGGATCCCAAGCATATTTGCTTCGATAAAACGGATACGTTGTCTCGTGTTCGCGGCGAACGTCTCTGTTTATTCGCGCCAACTGTGCTTGTGGAGAGAGGAAGAGACTCGGCATCTTCTCGATATAGGGAAATAGAAATTGCGCAAAGTAACAAGACGCCGGAGGCCGCCACGTCGTCATTCATTTCAGGATAGAAAAATGTTACGTTCGCGTTTTATTTTTATTTTTTTTTTTTTTTTAAGAGAGATGTCAGAGAATAGTTTATAAAATTGATCCCACTCTCTTTTCCCGCGCGATTCCTGACGATGAGATTAAACCGGCTCATTGATGCACGCTA